GCACCGTACATGGTGTTGGCAAAGAACTGCTTCCCCCTCCTGAGGCGCCGGACGATTTGCCAGAACCTTTTTGAGGCCGACCGATAGTCATGCTCCATGGACTCTCCAAACTCCTCCCAGTCCCGGGTTTTTGCCTCTGCAACAGCCCGGGCCGCGGCACGCTTGGCCTGCCGGTACTGGACAGCTGCCTCAGGAGTCCCCCGAACCACCATGGCTCGATAGGACTCCTTCTTCAGCCTGACGGCATCCCTTACTGCCGGTGTCCACCACCGGGTTCAGGGGTTACCGGCGGGACCAGCACCAGAGACCTTGCGACCACAGCTACGAGCTGCAGCATCGGCGATAGAGGAAGAGAACATGGTCCACTCGGACTCGATATCCCCCTCTTCCGCCGGGACCTGGGAGAAGCTCTCCCGGAGGTGTGAGTTGAAAGTCCGTCTGACAGGGGGCTCAGCGAGACACTCCCAGCAGACCCTCACTACACGCTTGAATCTGCCAGGCCTGACCGGCTTCCTCCCCTGCCAGCGGATCCAACTCACAACCAGGTGGTGATCGGTTGACAGCTCCGCCTGTTACTTTACCCGAGTGTCCGAGACACGCGGCCGAAGGTCAGATGATACGACAACAAAGTCGATCATTGACCTCCGGCCTAGTGTGTCCTGGCGCCACGTGCACTGGTGGACACCCTTGTGCTCGAACATGGTGTTTGTGATGGACAAACTATGACTGGCACAGAAGTCCAACAACTGAACACCGCTCGGGTTCAGATCAGGGGGGCCGTTCTTCCCAATCACCCCCCTCCAAGTGTCACTGGCATTCCCCACATGGGCGTTGAAGTCCCCCAGGAGAATAACGGAGTCCCCGGGCGGTGCACTGTCCAGTACACCTCCCAAGGACTCCAAGAAGGCCGAGTACTCGGCACTCCATGGTTGGCTTCGGACTGCGCTTCGTTTGACTTGTCACCTGTTTAAAAGTTTTAAAAGTTTTATAATAAATGTTTTAGAACGTAACATTTTGTTTAATTTAAAAAGTCTTGTTTTAATATTCTTTACTGTCAGAAATAGTATAAAAAAATACTAAATGTCTTTTTTATTTCTATTTGGCAAGACGAGATGATTTGTGGACTACTTGATCCGTCGCTTGCAAAGACGAACACACGACATCTGGAAGAGACTTCAAAGAAAAGAAAGGCATTAAAAATGTCGAATGCATCAAATCATCAGCATCAAAACATCCACCGATCACTGTCATATTCTCTGCACGAGGCTTTGAACATGTTGCTTTGTTCTGCGTTGCCACACGCACGTTTTTAATCCTGATTGAAAGATTTTGAAAGAAAACAGCTGAAACAAACGAGGAAACAGATCTGTTCTGAGAATCAGAAAAAACAGACGTCCATGGGTTCATCAGGTTATTTTGCATTATTTTTGTCATTCTGCTCCTCCAACATCATCTATTCGACTCAATTTATTTGTGTATAGCCCTAAATCACAACAGCAGTCTAGGAAGTTTTTGATTCCTCTGCAAAAGATCAGAAAACTACAGGAAATACAACAATAACAAACAGGGAGCGGGATGACTACTGTCCAGACAAGTTGAGGCAAGGCAAGGCAAGGCAAGGCAAGTTTATTTGTATAGCACAATTCATACACAAGGCAACTCAAAGTGCTGAACAAGATAGCATTAAAATCATAAATAATCACAGAACATTAAAAAGAAAGATAAAAATATAAAATCCCTCAGTTGTATGCACAGCTAAACAGCACCGTTTTTAACTTGGTTTTAAACATAGTCAGAGAGGAGGCCTGTCTCACATCTTCAGGAAGACTGTTCCAGATTTTAGCAGCATGAATCTGAAAAGCAGCCTCCCCATGTTTAGTTCTGACTCTGGGCACTAACAGGAGTCCAGTCCCTGTGCTCCTCAGAGTCCGGGCTGGTTCATATGGGACTAACATGTCACTAATATATTTTGGTGCGAGGCCATGGAGAGACTTGTACACAAGCAAAGCTGTTTTAAAATCTATTCTCTGAGCCACAGGAAGCCAGTGCAGAGACCTGAGGACCGGACTAATATGGTCGTACTTCCTGGTTCTAGTCAGGACTCGAGCTGCTGCATTTTGAATGTACTGCAGCTGTTTTACAGCCTGTTTGGACAGACCTGTGAGCAGGCCATTGCAGTAGTCTAACCTACTGGAGACAAATGCATGGATAAGAATCTCCAGGTCTGCTTTAGACACTATGTTTTTGATCCTGATAAATGTCTCGGATCATCACTGTCCTTAGACCCAACACAACCCAGTGGGAACTAGATTGACTAAGTTTTATATTTTGTTGTTTTGGAACGTAACATTTTGTCACATTTAACATTTAAACGTAAGAAATATAGACAAACTTGAAAAATTATGGTATAGATGTTTAAAATGGCACATGCACTGTTGTAAAGAATGTGGCAATAGTTCTGTTTTAAAAGCTGTAAATTAGCTCCGTCCATTACTTCATAACCATAGTGTAAACAAGTTTGAAAGAGAAGGTTAAACAAAAGGGCAGGGGCCACGTTTGTGAAAGAAGTTACTGATGATAGCCTGAATGGGGGAGCTATTGATGAGGGAACATGGCTCTGCACCATAAAGGCTCATTCCAAACCGTTTTACCACCTGGTGCTCACATGTGGCTCAGGAGAAGGTTTTAAAGCTACACACACGTGGATAGTGTGTCGGCGACCTTTAATGCTTGATATAGACGTTATCCTTGTCTTCATCAGTTATATCTGACTCAGGAAAAAATGCTCAAATCCAAACCAAACACATGCTTTCGATATGATACAGAGTCGGGCTCTTTCCTTCACCGCACATGGTCCTGTGTGAGAGACGCAGGTTTCTGGGTTAACTTCTGTGAGGTTATTTCCCAAATGGCCAAAGTATTTCTACCTCCCGATCCTGAGCCTGCTTAGGACTCTTATGAAAATGAAAATGCATTTCTGTCGATTCAAAGTCTGATTCCCCCTTAACAAGATGGTTAGAGAGAGGGGAATCAGAAATGAAAAGCTGTGTCCCTACAGGTGCTTACAGCCTGAGAAGGGCCTATTCGACACGTTTGTTACAATATGAAAACCATACCTGGATTATGTGAGCATTAGCCCAGATGACCTTACTGTATCCCAGTGTCAGTGGGGTCATCAAAAATAAAAATGTTTTATATAATTATTGTAGGTTAAATTAATAATATTTTTTTCATTATTTGACTTGAATAATCAAATTGTAATCATTTGTGTATTACAAAATGCGGTGTATCATTTACATGTTTGTAGTAGAGGCTTTTCCCCCCAAAATAAAATAACGAGAAGAGCCTATTTTGAACGATGTCTTCTTGGTTATTATTTCGGGGAACCGCGCAGACCCGTCAGATTTTTAAAGGGGCTGCTGTGTTACTGACTTTGGGAATGGCTGCAGTTCATCCAGAGTGATCATGGGCCTCTTGGCTGCCTCTCTGATCAGTCTTCTCCTTGTTTGAGATGAAAGTTTGGAGGGACGGCCGGGTCTTGGTAGATTTGCAGTGGTCTGATACTCCTTCCATTTCAATATAATTGCTTGCACAGTGCTCCTTGAGAGGTTTAAAGCTTGGGAAATCTTTTTGTATCCAAATCCGGCTTTAAACTTCTCCACAACAGTATCTCGGACCTGCCTGGTGTGTTCATTTGTCTTCATGGATCTCTCTGCGCTTTAAACAGAACCCTGAGACTATCAAAGAGCAGGCGCATTTATACGGAGACTTGATTACACACAGGTGCATTCTATTTATCATCATCAGTCATTTAGGACAACATTGGATCATTCAAAGATCCTCACTGAACTTCTGGAGTGAGTTTGCTGCACTGAAAGTAAAGGGGCCGAATAATATTGCACGCCCCACTTTTCAGTTTTTTATTTGTTAAAAAAGTTTAAATTATCCAATAAATTTCGTTCCACTTCACGATTGTGTCCCACTTGTTGTTGATTCATGACAAAAATATATTTTTTAATATCTTTATGTTTGAAGCCTGAAATGTGGCGAAATGTTGAAAGGTTCAAGGGGGCCGAATACTTTCGCAAGGCACTGTAAGCTCCCCAGACCTCCCGGTGTCTTCCTGAAGCTAAAGTGAATTACAATACAGAGCATTCAGCACATAGCCACATACGATTTACCAAAATGATAACTTAAGTTACATTCCAATATCACATATCCAGTCATAACAAAGCCATGACATAGCAGCAGATCACTATCCATTGGTCTCCATCTGTGCCAAAAAGCCTGTGCAACTCAGGGGAATGTCAAAAAAATCTCCTGAGAAAGGAAGAAGAGAACAGTGATGAGTGAAAAAGTGAGGGATCGTCGTAGCATCTAGGGACCACTCAAACATGTATGAAGCCTTCTCAACATGAAGCTTAAGCCCAAATTCAGACTATAAGACTACATGTTGCAGTTGTAACCTACAGGGCCGGCCCTCTTTCCAACCAATGATGCGGGACGGGCAGTTTAAAAGCAGCCACTTCCTACAAACCAGCTACCCACCGCCTCCCCGGCTCCTCCTCTGGCTCCCGCTCCACCTGCGCCCCATTCACACTACACCCTCTAGCCACCCCCAGAGCTTGACTTAGATCATTTTCAGCAGTAACGGTCTCCCATTTGCGAGAGTCACTGCGGCAATCAAACAATATTTCAAAAATGCGTTTTTTTGTGTCTGTTCTAGTCTCTCCAGATTGAAACAATTATGGCGAATGACCGGAAAGCAATTCTAATGGTGGACTTTTGCACTATATTTCCCCGTTTCCACGCCAAAGTAAACGAGATTTTCAAAGTACAATATTGTAAAAGCAAACAGCTCTACGCCTGAATCCAATTACGTCTGTCCAAGTCGTTTGTTTGCCCAGTTCTTCATCTCGTCACGCTGTAGCTGCACAGTGTCAAAACAATGAAATGACAGTCGTCTCTGACATGTGTTTTTGTGTTTTTGTGGGTTTCAGCGCAAACTCTGAACGCAGCGCAGCGGCAGAGGCCCATCTTCGCTCGCAGGGGGCAGTATGAGAGACAGCAGATACATGTGCCCGTGGTGAGAACTCGAAATGGGGAACAGACCTGGACAGCTCAGGGGATTTTAAGTTACAGAATGTGTGTCTGGTGTCACTTTCCAAGCCGAGAATGACACCAGAAACCAGGAGTGGGCAATTCTCTTCTCCGAGGAGGCCGCGTTGGGATGTCAACCCGTTTTCACCTGCTTTCAGCTAAAGTTACTTAGAATTACATCAGTGTACATAAGTGTAGAGTTAGAAAAGAATAGCTCATATTTCCCATCTGTAGTTATGACAGACACTAGGACCAGACCCAGACATATGTGTAGGAAAATAATAATTGATCTGAGTTTACGGATGGCTAAGGCCAGGCTAGCTCAAAGCCATGATTTCCAAGGAATCCCTACAAATCCTGGATGGTTGTGAGTAGGTTGCTAGGATACGGTTCCAAATTTTGATAAATTTAGAGTAGGGTAGGGCCAAGTGGGGCTGGGGGAAATAGGACTCTCCAGGCACCAGTCTATGATTGTGATGCAGTCTATGGTTGTGATGCAGTCTATGATTGTGATGCAGTATATGGTTGTGATGCAGTCTATGATTGTGATGCAGTCTATGGTTGTGATGCAGTCTATGATTGTGATGCAGTCTATGGTTGTGATGCAGTCTATGGTTGTGATGCAGTCTATGATTGTGATGCAGTCTATGGTTGTGATGCAGTCTATGGTTGTGATGCAGTGTATGATTGTGATGCAGTCTATGGTTGTGATGCAGTCTATAGTTGTGATGCAGTCTATGATTGTGATGCAGTCTTGGGTTGTGATTAAGTCTATGGTTGTGATTAAGTCTATGGTTGTGATACATATCTGTCTATCTCTTGTTGCAGAGGCCTAAACTCCCGGTGCGTCCCGCTCCTCCCAAACCCGCCCTGAAGCCCCTGAGCCCGCGCTGCTCCCAGCTGACCCAGAGCTGCCTGCCCCAGGACGGCTGCTGCGACGCCTGGGCCTCCTGCCACTGCCACTTCTTCAACGCCATCTGCTTCTGCCGCCGCACCACCCCCAAACACATGCTGGGACACTACGGCCAGACCTGAGCCTCCACCGCGCTCACAGGGACAATCTAAAGAAGTGTGTGTGTACGTGTGTGTGTGTGTGTGTGTGTGTGTGTGTGTGTGTGTGTGTGTGTGTGTGTGTGTGTGTGTGGACAGTGCCTTACTCGTCACTCATAATAGAAGGGGGAAAAACAACATTAAAATCTGTGGATCTGGGAGAAGCACTCTCTTTTTAGTAAAAACAACATTGTTATGGCATTTATAACATTACTCATTGGTCCTCACGAAGCCCCAATATATAAAATAAATAGATAAAATGTACATGTATTTTAACGCTTGCATGTTTTGACAGTTGAAATGATACTTGTTGAGAAATGTTGCTTTAAACTTTAAATTTTAAAGTAATTTTTTGTTTGTCTTCAGTGCCTTTTTTGTCAACTTAAACAATTGCAGTCTTGGCAAAGTACGAACGCGTGAATTCATATTTCGATTCCGCTGGGACAAATCGTGCAGGCCCTACTGTGCAAAGTCAGGTACCCCAGCTTTGTACAAATACTTTTTTATATTCAGCCACATGTATTTTCTCCCCAGTGCGTATGAAGAAAAACTACTCTTTACGTTTGTCTGTATCTAGAGACAAAAACTCCATGTTACACGGCCACGCTCGCTCTGGGCTCTGAAAGTTGTAAAAGGAGCTGTTGAACTTGTTGTGGTGAATAATTTGATGTGATGATTGTGTGAGAAAGTCAGAAATAAGCTTGGACTGTTACAAAGTTCTGTAAAATGTGTTTGTGTTGCGTGTGAGAGTAGTGTTTGCCTGACCAGCCCCGCCTACTTCCTGTCCCAGTGCTAATATGGACTTTATTGCGTTTATGTCATTCAAAGCTTCTCAAATACGAAATAATCTCATAAATCTTTCTGTATTTCCTTCAGGACAAACCGTTAATATAAAAATAATGTATCACGTTTTGATAAAAGTAGCCCATATATATTCCACAGTCATTTTTTCTGGGTACAATTTTCAATGCAATTTACATAATTTGAATGGAAAAACGGGCAGTGAGAGTTATACACAAAGTAGGATATTATTAGCATACCAATATATTTTTTTTTTGCTCTCCAAGTTGTTAAAACTGAGTGATCTGGTTAATTTCTATAGAGCACAGCTGATATATAAAGCTTGTAAAAATATGTTACCTGTAAATGTTCAAAAGCTCTTCACTCCCAGAGAAGGGGTTATGATCTGAGGGGTTGTGGTTTCTTTAAGGTGCGTCCTTAAAAAAGGAAACGTTGGTGTGTTTCTCTTTGTGGTGTCAAACTTTGGAACCAATTGGAGCTACATCTTAGACAGTGTTCAAATATCCATTAATTCAAAGCTAAATACAAGGAAATGGTTTGGTCGCAATACATGGGTGTTTGATCGGAAATGGTGGGGGTAGGTGCATGATTAATAATAAATTAATGTATCACACAATAAAATTTAGTGAATACTAGAAGATAAGAAAATGTTTTAACAGGATAGTATATTTAAAACATATAACAATAGACTATTTATATAAAACCATACTATATACACTAATAAATAATATAAATGTGATGATATGAAAATAACACATGGTTTAATAATTAACACATGTCGGTCTAGTTGTCAGTCGTCTCTCTGCCTGTACCATGCACCACACCAGCCATGACAGCGCACCCTACAGGACATGCGAGTAATGGCTTTTCAGAACAGAAAAGATCATCTCATTTTAAGGCCTGCCTTATAAATGCATCGACCTCACACTTTGTGAGGTCACACCTCGGGATGTGACCTCACAAAGGACTTGTGTTTTTAATGCATTCAACACAAGTATTTGCATTACATACAAGTAATAATGACAATGACAAAGTTAAACCAACAATGAAAACAACATCCAGTGATGGTACATGGCTCTGAAGTACGTTTTGTTTGTGTCACTTACTGTGGTGTCTGTTGATTATTGTCTACTGTGTTATATGTCTATTATTATGGCAAGGCAAGGCAAGGCAAGTTTATTTATATAGCACAATTCATACACAAGGCAATTCAAAGTGCTGAACAAAACAAGAAAGCATTAAAATCATAAATTATCACAGAACATTAAAAAGAAAGATAGAAATATAAAATCCCTCAGTTGTATGCACAGTTAAACAGAACTGTCTTTAACCTGGTTTTAAACATTGTCAGAGAAGAGGCCTGTCTCACATCTTCAGGAAGACTGTTCCAGATTTTAGCAGCATGAATCTGAAAAGCAGCCTCCCCATGTTTAGTTCTGACTCTGGGCACTAACAGGAGTCCAGTCCCTGTGCTCCTCAGAGTCCGGGCTGGTTCATATGGGACTAACATGTCACTAATATATTTTGTTGCGAGGCCATGGAGAGACTTGTACACAAGCAGAGCTGTTTTAAAGTCTATTCTCTGAGCCACAGGAAGCCAGTGCAGAGACCTGAGAACTGGACTAATGTGGTCGTACTTCCTGGTTCTTGTCAGGACTCGAGCTGCTGCATTTTGAATGTACTGCAGCTGTTTTACAGCCTATTTGGACAGACCTGTGAGCAGGCCATTGGAGTAGTCTAACCTACTGGAGACAAATGCATGGATAAGAATCTCCAGGTCTGCTTTAGACACTATGTTTTTGATCCTGGCAATGTTTTTTAGATGGTAAAAAGCTGCTGATGTTACTGATTTGATGTGGCTATTAAAATTTAAGTCTGAGTCCAGTATTACCCCTAGATTTCTGACCTTGTTTGAAGGTTTTAGGGAGAGAGACTGTAGGTGACAGATGACGCTCTCTCTTTGTTTCTGGGGACCAAAGACAATCATTTCAGTTTTGTCTGCGTTTAGCTGAAGGAAGTTGTTTTGCATCCACTCACTGATCTGTTGGATACAGTGAAGGAGTGAGTCCACTGGTCCATGTTCTCCTGCAGTCAGTGAGACATAGATCTGAGTGTCGTCTGCATAGTTATGATAGGAAACTTCGTTTCTGCGTATTAACTGACCTAACGGCAGCATGTAGAGATTGAACAGAAGAGGTCCCAGGATTGACCCCTGTGGGACTCCACAGGTCAGGGCCATATGATCTGAGACACAGTTTCCAATCTCCACAAAGTACTTCCTGTCTTCAAGGTAAGACCTAAACCAACTTAGGGCGGTGCCAGTGACGCCAACCCAGTCCTCTAGTCTCTGTAAGAGGATCTCATGGTCGACGATGTCAAAGGCAGCACTTAGATCTAACAAGATTAAGATTGAGACTTTGCCTGCGTCAGTGTTCAGCCGGATATCGTTTGTAACCTTAACGAGAGCAGTCTCAGTGCTGTGGTGGGGTCTAAAGCCGGACTGAAACATATCAAATGAGTTGTTGATTATAAGAAATCTAGTAAGCTGTAGGTAGAAAACTTTCTCAAGGACTTTCCCCATAAATGGCAGATTTGAGAGGGTACGATAGTTGTTAAGTACCGTAGCATCGAGACTGCTCTTTTTTAGCAGGGGCCTGATGACTGCAGTTTTCAGGGCCTTTGGGAATATTCCAGAATGAAGGGACATGTTTACTATCTGTGTGAGTGAATGTAACAGACTGCTCAGAACAGACTTTAGAAATCTAGTGGGTAGTACATCCAAGCTGCATGTGGAGGAGCTCAAACTGGAGATTATCTCTTGGACAGTTTTATCATTTACAGGTGCAAAGTGAGTTAGCTCAGAGAGCCTTTCTGGCTGTTGGATGGTTATCTGTGGATTGGAGACAATGGCGTTTTTGATGCCTTGAACCTTGTCATTGAAAAAATGAGCAAACTCATTGCATTTACGTTTGGAAGTAAGCTCTAATGGCATCTGAACAGGGGGGTTTGTTAATCTATTAACTGTTGAGAACAGAACACGCAGATTGTTGCTGCAGCCTTCAATCATTTCAGAAAAATACCTTTCTCTCGTACTACGTAGCACCCGGTTAAACTCGCACAACTTATCTTTGAAGATCTCGTAATCAACCTGGAGGTTGGACTTGCGCCACTTCCGCTCGGCCCTCCGGCACTTTCTCTTTTGTGCCCTGACCGAGTCTGCTTTAGCCCACGGCGCCTTCTGCTTATTTTTCACTATTTTAACCTTCACAGGGGCAACGGTATCCAGAACATTCAAAACACTAGAGGTGACAGAGTTAAACAGTTCATCTACAGTAGAATACGATGCATTCTCAAAGTTTATCATTCCCATAAATAGTTCACTCGTATTTTCATTTATGCGCCTTCTTCGAACAGTTGCAGAGTCCACTGGTGGTTTGTTAGTGAAACACATGTCAAAAAAAACACAGAAATGATCCGAAAGAGCAACATCGACCACGTTTACATTTGAAATATTCACCCCCTTTGTAACTAACAGATCTAGAGTGTGCCCTTTGCTGTGGGTGGGGCCACTTACGTGCTGAGTGAGATCAAAGGATTCAAGTACAGAACTCAGCTCATTTGCATTTCTGTCATCAACATTATCCACATGAATATTAAAATCACCTGTACCAAACTATCAAAATCTGTGCATACAACTGAAAGCAACTCGGTAAAATTATCAATAAAACTGTGACATGACTGCGGTGGCTTGTATAGGACAATGAAGAGTATTGGAGGAGATTGTTTTTGTTGTATTTTAAAAGACACATATTCAAATGACGAAAACTTCCCAAGAGACATTCTATGGGAGACAAAGTGGTCTCTAAAAATGGCAGCTAAGCCTCCTCCTTTTTTGTTTTCCCGTATTTCAGATTCAAACTTGAAATTTGGTGGTGATGCTTCTATTAAAACTGCATTTTCTGAATTTTGGTCAAGCCAAGTTTCAGCCATGAACATAAGATCAAGATTATGAGAACAAATAAAATTATTGATTAAAAAAGACTTGTTACAAAGAGATCTGACATTTAGCATAGCAAGTTTCAAAGTTTCAGTATCAGCGGTTGCGGTCGGCTGATTCTTACACGGAACAAGAATTAGATTTTCCAGATTAGACTGATTAACTCCAGATGTTTTTCTGTAATGTA